GAGAAAGGAAACGGCTCGCCGAAGCGAGGCCGAGGTAACAATGGATCGAGCAAACAAGAAGCAGAACTGAGGGCCACACAGGCAGTAACAACTGTGTTCCGAATCCCGATTTACAAAGTCCTGGATCAAATTCGGAACAAGTCCTATTTTAGAACGCCAGAGAGGACTCCAGGAGAGTTCATGGGAAGAAACATTGGCAGACATTGTGCCTACCACAATGAAGATGGGCATGCAACTCAGGGTTGTAGAGCCCTAAAAACACATTTGGAAGACCTGGTGAGACAAGGACATCTGAGAGACCTTGTCGATGAGACCAGGACAAGGGAAGAACGGGCAAGGTTGCCTCAGGCGCCAGCAGCCCCACCTCCCCCAGCACAGCAGTCGCAGGCAGGAGGACCTCGGGTAATCAACGTAATCCACTCGAAGGTTAACGAAAACGAAATCCGAGGAGAGACCCAGAAGGTAAAACACCTACAACATGTCTACCAAGTCAGGGAGAAAAGACGTCGGGCAGAAGAGTGCCCGGGACCACTAATAACCTTTACTGAAGCCGACCTAGAGATGGTCCAACATCCGCATAATGATGCCTTGGTGGTATCCCGCCAGGTTGGGGAGTGCCAAGTGAAACGCATCCTGATTGACCAAGGCAGCTCCTGTGACATCACGTACGTCTGATGTTGGAAGGAGCTCAGCCTTCACCCAGATGATATGGAACAATCCAATGGCCCAATGGTTGGGTTCAACGGAACGCCGACATGGCCACTGGGAACAGTAAGCTTGGAGGTGCAGGCTGGCACCAGGAAGATCAAGACAGAATTCACCATCATCGACACACCCTCCCCTTACAACATCATCTTGGAAAGGCCATGGTTGCATGCAATGGGAGCAGTTCCCTCAACATTGCATTAACTATTGCGATTCCCAACAGAGCATGGGATAGAGGAAGTCAGAGGCGATCAGCTGCAGGCGAAGAATTGCTCCATGGCAGCAATGAAATCTACCTGCAGCATACGAGAGCCAGAAACGACAGAAATTGAAGATGAGGACGTGGAAGTCCTAGAAGATGTCGACAAGGAGCCGGCCGAGAAGAGCGGAGAGGCACTGAAGAAAATCCTCGTCCATGATGGGGATGAAGAATGCTTCTTTCTTCTCGGCTCGGGCTTAGCCGAAGAAGAGGAAAAAGAATTGGAAGCTTTTTTGAGAACAAATATTGAGGTGTTCGCTTGGACACCTTACGAAATGCTTGGCATTGACCCCGAGGTCACTTGCCACAAACTGAATGTTGACAGGTCGGCCAAACCTGTAATTTAACGACCCAGAAGACCGACGTTGATGCACGTCGAAGCAGTAGAGGAAGAAGTAGACAGACTTCTGGAGGCCAAGGCCATTAGAGAAGTACACTACCCGACATGGCTATCCAATACAGTGGTGGTAAAGAAGAAGAACGGTAAATAGAGGATCTGCGTAGACTTCACCAGCCTCAACAAAGCCTGTCCCAAAGACAGCTTTCCTCTACCCAAGATTGACCAGCTAGTAAATGCCATATCAGGGCATGGAAGAATGAGCTTCTTAGACGTCTACAGGGGGTACCACCAAATAGCCATGTACCTCCCAGACGAAGAGAAGACCACGTTCATCACCCCAAAAGGCCTGTACTGTTACAGAGTAATACCTTTCGGGTTGAAAAACGCAGGAGCAACTTACCAAAGGCTGGTAACCAAAATGTTCAAACACCTGATTGGCCGAACAGTAGAAGTCTACATCGACGACATGGTCATTAAGACCAAGGAGCCTGAGGGTCATCTTGTCGATCTAAAAGCAGTCTTTGAAATCCTTAAAACATATCGGCTCCGACTCAATGCATCAAAGTGTAAATTTGGAGTTAGATCTGGTAAGTTTTTAGGATACCAGGTGACTAGAAGGGGCATCGAGGCCAGCCCAGATCAAATCAAAGCCATCCTGGAGTTGAAGAGCCCGACGTCGGCAAAACAGGTACAAATGCTAACTGGAAGGGCCGCAGCCCTGAACAAATTCATCAGCAGAAGCTCAGATAAGTGCAGACCTTTCTTCAACTTGGTGAAGAAAACCACAGACTTCCTGTGGACAGAAGAATGCGAAGCCGCTTTGGCCGACCTGAAGAAGTACTTGACCACAGCACCAGTTCTTTCAAATCCAGAACCTGGGGAGGAGCTGTTCCTGTACTTAGCCGTTTCAGAACATGCGATAAGTGCAGTACTAATCCGAGAAGAAAAATGGGAGCAAAGGGCTGTTTACTATGTAAGCAAAACCCTAACCGACGCAGAAATGAGATATCTACCCTTAGAGAAATTGGCACTAGCTTTAGTAATGGCTTCAAAGAAGTTGAACCATTACTTCTAGGCCCATAAAATTGTGGTACTAACAGAGCACCCCTTGAAGTCCTTACTGCGACAAGGAGATCTGACAGGAAGAATAGCCAGGTGGGCAGTCACCCTAGGCCAGTATGACCTGGAGTACAGGCCAAGGACAGCAATTAAAGGCCAGGTTCTGGCCGACTTCATGGCAGAGTTCACGCTAGAATCCATCGAACATCGGGCTTCGTTGAGCCAGGATGAACACTGTCCAGACAAGCAAGGAGAAGCCCAAGCAAAGGCGAAAGAACAAAAGAAAGAAGAAAAACTCAAGACCCTGCAGCATTTATATCGGAGACTCCTTTCGACTGTTCGTTGATAGGAGTTCAAACCGACAGGGAGCAGGGGCAGAAGTAGTATTGATATCCCCAGATGGGCAGGTACTAGAACAGTCAATTCGTTTGGGGTTCAAGGCCTCAAACAATGAAGCAGAGTATGAAGCATTGATTGCAGGATTGAAGTTGGCAATAGTAGCTGAAGCAAATGAAGTAATTTTTTGTGATTCACAACTGATAGTTAACTAGACAATAGGCGAGTTTGCAGCCCGAGATGAACGAATGTCAGCCTACGCAAAGGAAGTCATCAGACTGTCAGCCTTGTTTCAGAACTGCCGATTATTTCAGGTAAGCCGAGATGATAACAGCCACGCCGATGCGTTGGCCAACCTAGCTAGTGCAGTACAACCTGGAAAAGCAATGACAATAATGATTGATTACCTGTCGGGCCCGAGCATTGAACCAGTAACCACAGAGCATGAAGCAATGTGCGTAGACATGGGACCAAGCTAGATGGACGCAATTGTTGCATTCCTAAAAGAAAGAAAGCTGCCAGATGACCGCAAGGAGACACACAAGATCAAATTGAAGTCGGCAAGATTCAGTCTGACAGCAAAAGGACATCTCCACAGAAGGTCCTTCACTGGACCCCTTTTAAGGTGCGTGCATCCTTTAGAAGTTGAAGATTTTTTATATGAAATTCATGAAAGAATTTGTGGAAGCCACGCCGGGGCAAATCACTCGCCCATAGGGCTATTACCCAAGGGTATTGGTGGCCTTACATACAAAAAGATGCAGAAGCCTACGTGAAGAAGTGTGAACAATGCCAAAGGTTTGCACCTTTGATACACCAGCCAGCTGTTGACCTGAACCCTGTATCCAGTCCTTGGCCATTTGCCCAATGGGGCATGGATCTCGTTGGGCAATTACCCCAAGCAACTGGACAAAGAAAGTACTTGCTGGTAGCAACGGACTATTTCACAAAATGGATAGAAGCTGAACCTCTTACCAAGATCCAAGATGTGGACGTGAAGAACTTCATTTGGAAAAACATTATCACCAGGTTTGGGATTCCAAGAGCAATTGTTGCAAACAATGGAACTCAATTTGACAGTAAGGTAATCAAGAACTTCTGTGCAAAGTTCAAGATCAAGAACTACTTTCCAACCCCAAGCTTTCCACAAAGCAATGGACAAGCAGAAGCATCCAACAAAGTAATTCTGGATGGAATAAAGAAAAGGCTGCAGGCAGCAAAAGGCAAGTGGGTAGACAAATTGCCCAATGTACTCTGGGCATATCGGACTACGCCAAGAAGATCAACAGGGAAATCCCCCTTTGCCATGGCTTATGGCACAGAAGTAGTCATTCCGCTGGAGATCGGCATCCCAGGAATCAGAACCCAGGGAGTAGAGAACGGGACTAATGATGTACTTTTAGCCCGAGATCTGGATCTTTTAGAAGAAAGAAGAGAGAAAGCTGCAATCCAGCTCGCAGCATACCAGCAGCAACTTGCAAAAGCTTATAACAAAAAGGTCAATCCAAGAGAATTTCAGATTGGTGACCTCGTCTTAAGAAAAGTTGTCGGTAACAAGAAGGATCCCAGAGAGGGCAAGCTTGGCCCAAATTGGGAAGGACCCTACAGAATCATCTCGGTACTGGGTAACGGGGCATATCGGCTTGAAGATAATAAGGGCAAAGAGTTGCCAAAACCTTGGAACACTTGTAATTTGAAATTTTTCTATCATTAGAATTTCTTTGTTCCTTTGCCATTTGCCGAAGTAAATAAATATAGATTCAGCTGGTTCTCTTTTCAAAATACTTGACATTATCTCTAAAATACATGCATAATAAGAACCCAAGTGAAACTCAGGTTCACATTAGGGGGCAGAGAGAAGAAAAAAGAAGAATATGTTTAACACTTGTTGAAATTTGTGGACAATTTACAAGTTAAGTTAAACCGAAATTCTTATTTAACACTTGTTGAAATTTGTGAACAATTTACAAGTTGAGTTAAACCGAAATCATTGTTTAACACTTGTTGAAATTTGTGGACAATTTACAAGTTGAAGTTAAACCGAAATCATTGTTTAAACACTTGTTGAAATTTGTGGACAATTTACAAGTTGAAATTAAACCCAGATTATTGTTTAAACACTTGTTGAAATTTGTAGCAATTTACAAGTTGAGTTAAAACAATATGATGTTCAACACTTGTTAAAAGTTTACAAGTTAAGTTAAACCAAGAGGTTTGGCTATCCGAGGTGTGTCACCCCGAGAAGATTGCACAAAGAAGGAAGAGTATGTTAAAGACATACAAAATATTCTAAGTATAGAATCACGCAAAAGCAATCAAAAGAAGACAAGTACAAGCACTCAGTGAAGAAAAGTTGTATCAGCATTCAACAAAAAGAGGGCATATCGGACATACAAAGAGCATACATTATCTCAAAAAGAAAATTCGAAATACAAGAAATAAAAAGATGTGAAAACTAAGATTCCTCAGCATCGGCAGTGAGCTGGGTTGGGACCTCGGAAGGCTGTTGAGAAGCCACCTCGGCCGCCTTTTCTGCCGCAAGCTCAGCATCAATTTCTTGCAAAGTTTCGTCAAGGCTCTTATCGACAATGGTGACATCAGCTAATGCCTTCTCAGGAGCAGGGTCTCTGGGAACCTCATCACCTTCCTCATCTTGAGTCAAGTCTAGGACTTGCTCATTCTGAGGAAGAGACTTGGCCCCAGCAGCATCTTTTGATTTCCTCACTAAAACTTCCTCCTCGGCCTCCTCCTCAGATTCAGAGTCACTGACAGATTGAGCTAGAGTTGGAGTTAGGGCTGGAGGGAATGGAAGAGGAATAAGGTCGACATTTCTGAAGGGCGAGTCCTCGGGGACATTAAGCTTCTTTAGAAGAGACATCCAACCATGGGTGAAACCCTTGTTGCATGCCTGCTTCACTTGAATTTCATAAGCCTCCGTGACGTCGACCATACCTTGAGCATATGCCTTCTCGTCGGCGTCCTTGATTTCAGCCTCTTTGGTGGCCAAGGCTTCTTGAAGCTCTTTTTCGGCTTGGGCCGTCTTCTCCTTGGACTCTTTTCTTTGAGACTCAGAAACCTTTCTGATGGCTTCGGCAGATTCAGCCTTCTCTTCGGCGTCAGTTTGGGCTTTGATTGCAGCCTCGGCTTGGTCCTCCAACTTTTTCATCTTTGATTGTAAACTCTTGTTGGCTTTTTGAAGAACAGGGAACTCCTTCTTCATCTCGGCCAACTTCTCTCGATTTTCGAAAGATTGAATAGAGAAAGAATGGGCATGTGGATAGCCTGAAAAAACACAAAACAAAAGTTATTAGAAAATTTCTAAGTATGAGAAAGAAGGAAAAAAGTACCAGATGAAAGATACTTACTTGAACAGAACGTTGAAGCATCAAAGTGTAGTTTTCGTACTCGCTCATCTCGGCGTTTCGATTAAGATCGTCGGGGAGGAGCAGAGCAGTATTGAGGGCTACGCCGATGTTGATGTTGTCAGCACTATCGTTAGCCATGACTGGCTTATCTTTCAGAGTAATTTTTGGAGCCCAAGGGACATCATTCTTTTTAGACCCCGAGGTGGTCGCAGAAGATGACCTCGGCTTTTTTGATTTTGGGGATTCTGATGGCTGGGCTTCAAAACGCCTCTTCCCAGCAGAGGGTTGAGATTTGTCACTCTCAACCAACTTGGAGATCGGCAAAGTATCCATAGACTCAGTCTGAATTACCTTAGGCTTTGGTTGACCCTTTTTAATCCTTTTTGGCTTTGGAGGCTGGGTTGGAACTAGCTGAGCGTCAACGTCGGTTGGAATGCTGGCCAGAAGATCTTTTGCAATTGGTTTTGGGCGACCCATCTCGGCAGTAGAAACTGTTCGGCGTCGACGGCGGCGGCGTTGTGATATTGGAATCAAGTATGGAGCCGAGGTTGATGGCTGATCAGCTGGATCGGAAGTTGACCCTTGATTTGTCCGAGATGTGGACGCAGTCTGTGGAGTTGTGGCGGAAGGTGGAGAAAGGCTTTTCTTCTTCCTCTCAGGGACGTCGGGCAGAGCTGACTTATATGTTGGGATAAAGTTGAAAAGCAAAGGCGCCTTCCGTTTGTGAACCGGAAGGCTTAGTAGCTTCTTCAAATCCTTGCTGGAGAGGAAGGATTGACAAAAGTTCTTTGGAGGCTGAGGAAGAACTGCAGAACAGCACAGACATTAGAACAGAATATTGAAAACTTTATGCAAGAAGATAAGAAAACTTATGAAGGGTGGCCCTTACCAGCTCCTTCCCCGAGAACTGTTCGGCTTAAGGGATAAAGATGGAGGTCATCGTTTGGCTGAAACTCCCAATTGCCCGAGACGATGAAGTAATCGTCTCCAGCTCCCTTGTTGGAGTCTGGGAGGTCGGCTACGATTTTATATTCAGTGGATCTCGGTTTGAGGTAATAGACATAGTCCGTGTCTTTTCTAAGGCAACACATGGTATAACAGTACTGGAAATCGGCAAGCATAATCCTGGCATTCTCTTGTTTGACTAAAGCTATGGTACCAGTAATAACTCGGTAAGAATTGATGACGAGTTGCATTGGGTTCAACTTATAGAAGTGAAGGATTTGACGAAAAAAATGGTCAGGTGGAAACCGAAGTCCACACTCAATAAAGGCAACCACAGGGAAGGGCATGGAGTTATCTGTAGGCATGATGGAGTCATCATCCCCAACCAACCTCAGATTGACATCGGCTGGGATTTCAAACTCTTGCCTAAAAAATTCTAGCTTTGAGGGGGTGTCTACCCGATGTTTCCACATACCCATGATATCGGGATAACTAAAGGTATTAGATTTTAGAAAGAAGATGTTTCAAAAAGGGTTATTGGTACCTCGGCCAAAACCTAGGTTTGAGCTGGTGCAGAAATTTGTAAGGGATGTTTCAGTTTTGTCCTAAATTCTGGGTTCTACAGACAAATCCCAAACCTAAGTCTATGGAAACAAAGTTGAAGGTACGAATCTGGAAAAGACAAAAAATAGAAAACAAGAACGGAGTTTCAGAATCAAGAACAGAGATGGTCTATCAAGAGCATAAAGAATTCAAGAAGTATAGGGCCAAGAACAGTGGCAAAAGTACAGGGAAGTAGTGAAGCAGTGCGTGTGTTCAAGATATTGGCAAGGGCAAAATCGTGAAAAAAACACATTCAGATGTATGATTTACAAGATCGAATGTTTAAGCAAAGCAGTAATGGCAACAAGTTCAAGAAAAAATTAAGAAACTGAAATAAGAAAGAATAATGTATTACCAGAGAAAGAACGAAGCTGGTGTTAAACGTTGCCGAGGTCAGACGGCGGTGGCAGACCGGAGAATCAGCACGAACCTAGTCGAAGAAAGCAAACGCCGGTGGCTGCAGAACTTTGGAAGCTTGAGCAATGGAGGATTTCAAAAGGTAAAGCAAGAAAGAGAGAGAAAGAGCTTCAGACGCGAAAGAATAAAGTGAAAAGACGGAGGAAAAGAAAGAGTTTTTTATTAAACTTGAAACGGCGGCAAAAAAAGAAATTAATGATTCTAGAAAAACGAATCCGTCAAGCGGCGCATACAGGCGCAAAAACGATCTACAAGCACGTCCGAAGTACGATCCAGTAAGAAGAAGACGCGTGGCTGAAACAGTTGAGTTGTTTGTGCACGACAGCTCACAAAATTCTTGATCTTTAAGAAGACATGTCGGCCTACGATGATGATCTCGGATTAACCCGATGAATTAGCATGAGGTACTGATATAGGTTCCATCACCTCAGAATGATAGAACCTAGGGGGCAGTTGTGGGGATATATTTTTGAGTACCAACACGTGGCAAGTTGACGCCGACGTGTCAGCCGAGGTGCCACGTGTCCTGGTCGTTATGCCGAGGTCATCTCGGTTAGGCCGAGGTTATCTCCAAAGATATCGGAATCCGAGATAAGCGGATAAGAGATAAGAGACAAGAGTCCTAGAATAAAGAAGAGACTTAGCTCAGATAAAGATAAAGCTCTTAGAAAGTTTATCTTTATCTCTTGAGGAGTCTAAAGTAAGTACTGAAGAGGAATTCATAGAAGTCAGGCTTCTATTGGGATTAGGATTGAGGTAACTATAAAAGAGAGGCACCCCCATAGGTCTAAGGTACGCAATTTATATTCTGTGTAGTGAGTTAAGCACTTTTGATTATCTTTGAGAGATATATTGACTTGATCGTCGGAATGGCCCCGAGTGGACGAACCACCGCCGGAATCTTCTCTTTCTGTTACAGGTTAGCCAGGTGTCATCTATTCTGCCAGTGTTCTCCAGTTGAATACTGAGTTGGGCAGTGTGATCGGAAAATCACTCACACATGTCTAGAAAAACTAGTTGAAAGATCACTTACAAATACCTAATTTTAGTTGAGAGAGGTAGAAAGACATTTCACAAAATCAAATACATCTAAAACAATAATTGAGAGAATCACTGTCCACGAAACAGAATTAAAGATGTCCAATTTTATGTTTGGGTTTGGATTACAGAGAATAATGATTTATATAACATTGACACTTTCAGTAAATTAAATATTTAGATTTTATTCACTCATTAACCTATTAAATATTGAGCTTATAAATAAGTAAATCAAATTAAAATCATTAATTTAAAAAAAGGAAATTTTTTTAAAGTCCTTAATAATAATAATAATTTAGAGGATAAAGGACACCAAAAAAATCGATGATGCATCAGGTCCCTCAACTAGAACGCACGTATTTTTAATTCTTTCTTGGACCAAAATACCTTTCACAAATCAACTGAGAACACTCAACTGGATTCCGACGACTGAGTTCCATTCCAAACATCCAACCATCTTCACGAGCAAGAGAACGAGAGAATTATGGTTTCACAATCATCTTCACTATCGATATTAGGGTTTCATTATCTTCTGCGAAAATCTTTTCCATTCCTTCCTCACAAATTTCTTTGACCCATTTTCACTATTCATTGTCATTTGATTTCATCTTCATCTCAGGACATATCAGTTCGTAATTAGGGTTTTATCATCACTCTGGTTAATTTTCTACAATCCAACGAGTTTTTCTCTGGAAACACAATTACTAGACCCGCCCAGTCCAGATTTTGTGGACCCAAAAAGGGCCCACTAAGATGAACTTCGGACCCTCTCATGTCCTTTGTTTAAAGTCACCTCTTTATCACAACAATGATGATTGTCTCTAATATCATGATAGGGAAATGCTATACCCTACCACAAAATATATAATTTTATCATAAAATTGTATAATATTAGTTATACAAAAGTATTTAAAATTGATATAATAAAATATCAATATTTAAAATTGCTATAATAAATATTTAAAATTTTGTAATCGATATTACAAAAGTTTATAACTTAATTATGATATTTTTTTTGTTATGTTAATTTATGGCGAATTTACACATTTTGTGATTAATATTACGAAATTTTATAACAAAGTTACACATTTTGTGGTAAAAAAGAAAAAAAAGTTCTAGAAAACAGGAATGATTTAAATAGAGGATATTTATTTCATCTTTTACCTCTCTATGTAGATCATCTAGAACGAAAAATTGATTGATCGGATAATCGTAATTATAAATATTCTTACATTTATTTTTGAAAAAACAGATGACAATAATTATTTTAAATATATACTACTTATTTTTTTAAGAATAATTATAATAAAATTATGTGATTATGATTTTCATATCAATCTAATAATTTCATCATATTGTAAAAAAATGAGTGTCAAATATAAATTAAAAAATATAGCATATGATGAAATTATGTAGTTAGGATTATCATGATAATTTGATTTTTTAAATTTGATTAATTAATTAATTAATTTATTTTTGAATACTTTTACTGTGCATGAAGATAAAAGCTGCAGGACTCCAATCATCTTAACGGGTCCTAATTGTACTAGAAACCAACCGCTTCACCTGAATTTTTTATTTATTTTTTATTTTTTTTGAGAAAGTGATAAATTAATAACAGTAATGATTAAGACCCTCAAATTTAGATCTTTATGACGTCAAATGATCTGAACCATTCATGTAAGAGAGAGAGGGGGGAAAAAAATTGGTGGTCTAACTCATTTTCCAATTAATAAATTAAATTCAAATTATTTTAAATTTTATGAGTTTTGGACTCAATTTAGAAAATATAATGTTTAACAAATCATAATCTGAGAGCATCTACATCAGTCTCAACCAATGTAAATTTTGGTTAAATATAGTTAATAAATTATAAAATTTTTACTCCATCAGTCTCAACATATTATTCTAAACTAGCTTTTGGTTAACTTTACTATAGTATATCACTACATGTAAAGATACACTGTTCACAAGGTATATAATATTTTATCATTTATTGACCTGACATCTTGTCTGTCATCCGGTCGGACATCTTGCTAGACAATCAGCTACTGCACAATTTTTTTTTTTATTTTATAGGAATATGAAACTGTATAGATATATCCTAAACACTTTCGATATCTGGGCAGAAAACTGCTACTGGGCGCAATTTTTTTATTTTTTTTTTAATATGAAACTGCATCTATATAACAATACAAAATTAACTTCTCCTATACTACTTTGATTGTTTTTTAACAATACAAAATAAATATTTTATAAAATTTAATTTTAGAATAGAAGATCTGATATAGTGTGTACATACAAAAAATGCTAGCTAAAATAGAAAAGTATTTTTTAATTATAATTTGACTCAAAATTTATTGAGGCTAAGGTACATGCTCTAACACATTCATAAGTCTTTGATTCGTTATTCAAAATTTTGAAAGTAGAATAAATTTCATAAATATTTGATTCATCAATTTTTTTTTTCAATCAGGAAGAAAATCCTTATTATAAAACCAGTAAAAGATGAGTTTTTTTTTTAAATCAGGAAGAAAATTTCAGCAAACTGGCTCCGTTTCTCACCTTCTCGGAAATTGAATGCGACAAAGGATGACTCAGGGAATGCTTCATGTAATTCAGTAATGATCTCATGCAAATAGAGTTGATACAACCCATTGGGCAAAACTTCAGTCGAAAAGCAAGAGTCAAAAACTGCAAAAATACAAATACACCATAAAACCACCAAAAATAACATAAAAATCAGCGTGTATTTTTAACAGAGAAGGAAAAGGGCACCCACGGGTTTTTTAAGGGTCAAACTGACCAAACACCCAAAAAAAAGAGTCTACCCTTCAAGCAGTATCTGCTCCAATGTAGGACAAATACAAGGGCGCACACATTTTTCCTTTTTTAAGAAGTAAAAGAACCTAATTTGGGCAATAAAAAAAAAAATCTATTTTTCAAGTGTGACAAAACATATATAATTGACATGCCACATATACATATTTATATATATAATTCAAACCCAAGAGAGTGACCACTGAAAGCATCAATGCCATCCAAGACATGCCTCTCATAGCAAGCAACGAGAGAAACTTTCATAGTTCGACTAGAACCATATTGTGTATACCGTCACAATAAAGAAATTCAGTTCCTCTATGTGTATATAAATTCCCACACAAACAGAGTGCCAGACTCTGACAGTTGAAGTTGGAGAAGAGCAGTGGCTTCATGGCTTCTTCTCTCCCAAATTGTCCGCTGTTTGTGTTCGCCGCCAAGTATTTACTCAAGCACGGGGGACAGTTGTGTGAGACAGAGCAGTTTCTTTGGAGGGAAAGTAGTTTTAAATCAAGGTGTTGGGTACTCTGTTATTCTTGGATTCGAGGCCTTCTTTGCTGTCTTCACCTCCTTCCTGGTATTACCCCCTTCCTATCTCTACACTGTATTATTATTCATAGGGTTCACACTTGTAATTAGTGGCAATATTGAATAAACCCACTATTTGGGGAATTGTGTCTCATAAAATGGGTGTATTGAGAAATTTTGTGTGTATTTAGAATTATCCAGAATCTTGTTGAAAAGTTTTAGTCATTGGAATCCTAAAAAATCCCTTCATAAAATCTTCTCCTACCCCATGGAGTTGCACTTATTTTTCATCCTGCCTCAAATGAGCTTGGATTAAAACACTACATTCATCCTGACTACATGTATACTTTAAAAAAAAAAAAATTCCATATCCCTCACTAGCATTTTTTTGTTCTCTTCACATATATATTTTATTTCCCTTTCAAATTCCATTGTGTTGCATCGATCTTTTGAATTTTTTTTTAAGTACTGATGAAAATTTTCAAAAAAATACCCAGAATGCATGCAATAGTAGGATATCCTGGCCGCATTCTATGCACTTTTGTGAAAAAATTTATGTCGCATTTATTGATTCTCTTTTGACACATTTACTTTCCCTGTCAAATTTCATTGCAAGGTATTGATCTAATTTTCATTCTTGGTTTCTTTTGAACAATTTATTTAATTTTTTTTTCCTTCATGACAGTGTTAGGGTTTCAAATGAGCTAGGATCAAGACATCCCAAGGCAGCAAAATACTCAGTCTTTGTAACAGTGACAGAGTCTCTTCTAATAGGGATATTGTTCATGTCAATTATAATGACTACTAGAAACCATTTTGCTGTCATTCTCACAGAGAGCAAAGACATGCAAAAAGCTGTTGCTCAATTTGATTTACCTTCTTGCCATTACCATGGTCCTCAACCGTGTTCAACCTGTTATTTCTGGTATTAACCCATTCAAAAACTCAAGTCTTGTTCTAATGTTTATAATTTTCCCTTTATTTTTATGAATTTGAAAAGACAAAAAAAAATAGAATTAAAAATTTGTTAATGAGTTTTCTTCAACCACAGGAGAGAATGATGCAGTTCGGTGAATCGATACAGAAACAAAGCAACAAAACACAACAATTTCAGACAAATCTAAGGGTTTCAATTTCCTCCAAACCAATATTCGATCAAATATGAAATCGCTATCTCATTTCTCTCTCTCGAAGTGCGAATTAGTTACTTGGTGAATGAGAGGAGAGATCTGAATTTGTGTAATTTAAACTACAAATCAGTTAAGAAAATAATCAGACAAATTAGAAATTATATACGAATGATTTATATATGTAGAGAAAGAGAGTGTAGAGAGAGACACGATGAATTGAACTCACAAAGAAATCGGAATCAAACGGCCTCGCCGTAGAAGAAATCTGCCGCCAGAGATGCGTTCATGTTTCTGAATCGGAGAAACAACGGATGGTGGTGGTCGGTGGTGGTGCTCGTGTGTCTGTGTGAGATGCCGATGGGGAGAGAGAGAGAGGTATGAGAATGATGTAAATAGTGATATAAGTTTATAAAATATTTTTGTATTAAACAAAATCTAGATTATAACTACAATTTCTAGTTTATTGGCAATAAAAATAAAAATTTCTCATATCCACTAAAAATTTATAAATATTTAAGAATATCTAGAATTTTGTTTTTATTATTTATAATAAAAATATAATTTCTCTAGAGAATGAGAGGGTTTGGGACAAAAATAGGTATGGATCTAAAATGAGAGGGAGTGTGGCATAAGTTTTTAAATTCTTAAATTCAAATAATTTTCATATACTTAGAAGGAAAATATTTTTTAATTTTCTAAAAAAATCGCCAAATTCAAAAAAAATATAAAATTTAATATTTTACAACATGAAATGTATGTTATCTTAAGTGCAAATATTTTATGACATTTTTGTATGCTGTGAAACTAAACATTTATTTTCACGGCATACTTTTGCATGTCAAAAAAAATCGAATTGAACTTTTTTTCTTTTTATTTTTTTAAAGAAGTTTTCACGACATTCATTAGCATATCGTGTAAAGTTATAATATTTTACAACATGAAATGTATATCGTCTTAAGTACAAATATTTTACGACATATTTTTGTAATTCGTGAAAACATATATTTTTTACGGCATACTGTTGTATGCCATAAATATATGAATTAACGACTTACATGGTATGTATGCTATTATTGACAAAACATTAACAGCTTGCGGAAAAAAAAATGTCATAGAATGTACTAACTACGACATACATTTAATGCATGCCGTAAACATGATGTCGTAAATAGTTAGTTTTGTTGTAGTGTTAGTACATTTCACACAGAACATGTAAAATGATTTCTTATTATATAATCTATTAATCAAGCAACATTGACCAAATTACAGTACACAATCCCACTCCAAACCCCTCATAAGGGGGTAGCACAGCGTACGACATTTAGCTCCTCCTTGGAGCAAATATCGCACCTGCAACAAAAAGTAAAGATGGAAAATAATGAACATAAGTCCTGAAGCTTCACATCAGACCTCCAGCAATCACAGAAGTTTTCACAGAAAACACTAAGATCACATATCAAAGTAAACTTGCATAGACTTCTGGCCAATACAGAGTCGCAAACATAGAAAGAAATTCATACCTCTCGAAGAAGCTCTGAAGGAAAACCAGTAGCTTCAAATGATGTTAAAGGAGGGGGTACATTATCTCCCTGATGAAAATTGAAACAAAAACACCCTAATCCATTACAACAATGTAAACTGCACAACGAAAATATAAAGGAATACATAGTGGAAAGTTGAAGGAGATCATAAAACACCATGGACAATGAAATAATGCCACTTCTGAATTTCCCAAATGCATGTCTAGTGTCAAAGGCATGAGCCAGAAGAATTCCAATAAAGAGCAAGCGAGGTCTGGGGGTGCAACTTAATTAATCATACTGTTGTAAACTAATAAACTACATTTAATTGTAATATTCTATACTGAAAACAAGATTGTTCTACTTGAGAACATTTCTGTCTTCATAATCATCAAAGAAAGCATCATGAGCGACGACCCAAGGATTCAAATATTGAAAGTAAAATATAGAACCCAATGTTCAATCAAATGGAATGCCTAACAAGCAAAAATATTGCAGATTATAAGTAAGCAACCTAATGTACAAATATTGTTAGATGCTTACACTAATAGTAATTTCATGCTGACGGCGATAAGATTCAACAGATGGGCCATTTCCAACAGCCAAAAGCCATAACCTCTGCCAGAAGACCCTCCATGTCCAACACCTATCTCCTCATTAGGAACATTTTGAGAATGATCTGATCCACCTTTCCCACTCTAATGCAAAATAAGAGTAATTAGTTTAGCAAGCCAACAAGAATAGGACCAAACCATCACAGAAGGAAGTGGAAGCATGGACTAATGCATAAATTCTACCAAAGCAAATTAAAGATTTAAAGATAACCCCTCAATTCTTAGCTACACACACTTCATGTTTACCAAAATCGATATTTTCCCAAGCAAGTTTTTCACAACTTGCACCAAACACAACATTTTAGCTGTCTCAAAAGTAGATGTGACTGCAACCCATTGCAAAACTAAAAATGATGTGATAAATTTAGAACTTTCATTACAACAAGAATTGAAAACCAAACTTGGCAAGGACTTCATAGTGTGGTGTATCCTGGCTTTCATCACAGAACAAAATCCTGTCCAAAACGTCAAACTAAATTAAAATTACTGGCATAAATTCAAGAAATAGACGAACAAGATGTCTGAGGTACTAACATCATCAACCTAGGGCTCATTAATAGTCATCGAGGTGACACAAATGTAATGGTTACCCATGCATTTATGAACAAAGTTTCTAATCCCTTTTGAATTCTTGTGCATAGTTTCCCAAGCAATGATTTCAACAAAATCAAAGCCCGTCCTAGTTCACTTGCCTAGTGTCAGTAAATCAGCTCTATACTGATTCATTTAAAAAATCAACTAGATATATTCATGGAAGCCAAGTGCATCAATATTAAGAGCACTCAATCCATGCAAGCACTTCCCAAAAGCCACTGCACAATGTCAATTGAGCCAGTTATGGGTGTTCAAACAGTCAGATGCAATAAATACACCTCATCAAAAAGGGTGAAGACAACAACCAAATAAAGAGAGGATGCAAAGGAAACGAAAATTATTAAACTAATAGTATATTATCCACTTAGATGTTAATACATTATTAAAAACTGTACTGAAGTAAATTAGAATTTATCCAAGTATAGTCCACTAACATAGGTCCTATACTGTAAAATTTATCCTAGGAAGCACGGATACAGATACGGGATACGAATACGATACGATACGATACGGATACGGCGATACGACAAAATTTGAAAAATTAGGATACGGGTACGGTGGGGATACGTTCGTAAAAAATATTATTTTAACAATTTTTAGTAATGCAGTATACATAAAAATAAAATATAAAGCAAGAGACAACTTGATAAAGAAGAAAGATTCCTATAAAACTAAGAGTCTTCAAGGTCAATAGCTTCAACTTGTTCCCCTTCATCAGTGAATATCACAAGACCTTAGCTAAAGTCAAACAATCATTCTTAAATAAAAATTTCAGCAAATATACTTTTTTAAGTCATCAATGATAGCCTAGGAAGCACGGATACGGATATGGTGATATGGGGATGTGGATATGGCGATATGTCAAAACTTGAAAAAGTACGATACGGGTACAGCGGGGATGCATTCGTAAAAAAAAAAATTATAATTTTAAAAAAATTTATAATTTATAATTTCAAACATTCATAAAACATCCAAAACTAAAAGCAAAAGCAAATGCAAATTAAACATCATCCTTACATGCCAACATCAAAAAAAGAATGAGAGCAGAGAGAAGAAACGTGAGAGAGTGAAAAAGCGAGAGAGAAGTGAGAGAGACAACAAGGATACATCAATTTGACAAATTCTATTACTTTAACTCTCACTATATTCCTTTTATCAAAGAACTAAACAAAACATTATAAGTAATATGTAACTTCGAGTATCCGATACTTCAAAATTAAGTATCCGATACTTCAAAATTAATAAAAAATTAATTAAGAAGTATCCGATACTTTTAAGAAGTATCCGATACGTATCCGCGAGTATCCGAGGAGTACCGGTATTCGATAAGTATCCGATACGGATACGTCACCCTTTTTGAAGTATCCGTGCTTCATAGAATTTATCCATAAACAACTGGAATTTTTTTTTTTTTTTTTTTTTGAATATATATATGACCACCGTTCAACACCTCAAGCAAAGCAAAATCAGGGCACAGAAGCCTAAATCAAGAATCATCATCCAACTTCCAACCTCCCAATAGGTTGATAGGTTCACAAGTCTAGATATTTCACAAGGTAACCTAAGTGACATCAATAGAATTAAAAATTTGTTAATGAGTTTTCTTCAACCACAGGAGAGAATGATGCAGTTCAGTGAATCGATGCAGAAACAAAGCAACAAAACACAACAATTTCAGACAAATCTAAGGGTTTCAATTTCCTCCAAACCAATGTTCGATCAAATATGAAATCGCTGTCGCATTTCTCTCTCTCGAAGTGCGAATTAGTTACTTGGTGAATGAGAGGAGAGATCTGGATTTGTGTAATTTAAACTACAGATCAGTTAAGAAAATAATCAGAAATTAGAAAACGATTTATGGAGAAAATAATCAATTAAAAAAATAATCAGACAAATTAGAAATTATATACGAATGATTTATATATGTAGAGAAAGAGAGTGTAGAGAGAGAGACGATGAATTGAACTCACAAAGAAATCGGAATCAAACGACCTCGCCGTAGAAGAAATCTGCCGCCGGAGATGCGTTCATGTTTCTGAATCGGAGAAACAATGGCTGGTGGTGGTCGGTGGTGGTGCTCATGTGTCTGTGTGAGATGCCGATGGGGAGAGAGAGAGAGAGAGAGGTATGAGAATGATGTAAATAGTGATATAAGTTTATAAAATATTTTTGTATCTAGATTATAACTACAATTTCTAGTTTATTGGCAATAAAAATAAAAATTTCTCATATCCACTAAAAATTTATAAATATTTAAGAATATCTAGAATTTTGTTTTTATTATTTATAATAAAAATATAATTTCTCTAGAGAATGAGAGGGTTTGGGACAAAAATAGGTATGGATCTAAAATGAGAGGGAGTGTGGCATAAGTTTTTAAATTCTTAAATTCAAATAATTTTCATATACTTAGAAGGAAAATATTTTTTAATTTTCTAAAAAAATCGCTAAATTCAAAAAAAATATAAAATTTAATATTTTACAACATGAAATGTATGTTATCTTAAGTGCAAATATTTTATGACATTTTTGTATGCTGTTTATTTTCACGACATACTTTTGCATGTCAAAAAAAAATCGAATTGAACTTTTTTTTTTTTTTTTTTAAAGAAGTTTTCACGACATTCATTAGCATATCGTGTAAAGTTGTAATATTTTACAACATGAAATGTATATCGTCTTAAGTACAAATATTTTACGACATATTTTTGTAAGTCGTGAAAACATATATTTTTTACGGCATACTGTTGTATGCCATAAATATATGAATTAACGACTTACATGGTATGTATGCTATTATTGACAAAACATTAACGGCTTGCGAAAAAAAAATGTCATAGAATGTACTAACTACGACATGCATTTAATGCATGCCGTAAACATGATGTCGTAAATAGTTAGTTTTGTTGTAAACACGCATATAGGTTTATTATAAATACAACCCCATCTTATGTAAAATTACACGAAGACCCAAACTTTCTCAAATTTACCCAACAACCTCGCACCTGCGACAAAAAGTAAAGATGGAAAATAATGAACATAAGTCCTGAAGCTTCACATCAGACCTCCAGCAATCACAGAAGTTTTCACAGAAAACACTAAGATTACATATCAAAGTAAACTTGCATAGACTTCTGGCCAATACAGAGTCGCAAACATAGAAAGAAATTCATACCTCTCGAAGAAGCTCTGAAGGAAAACCAGTAGCTTCAAATGATGTTAAAGGAGGGGGTACATTATCTCCCTGATGAAAATTGAAACAAAAACACCCTAATCCATTTCAACAATATAAACTGCACAACGAAAATATAAAGGAATACATAGTGGAAAATTGAAGGAGATCCTAAAACACCATGGACAATGAAATAATGCCACTTCTAAATTTCCCAAATGCATGTCTACTGTAAAAGGCATGTGCCAGAAGAATTCCAATAAAGAGCAAGCAAAAGTCTGGTGGTGCAACTTAATTAATCATACTGTTGTAAACTAATAAACTACATTTAATTGTAATATTCTATACTGAAAACAAGATTGTTCTACTTGAGAACCTTTCTGTCTTCAAAATCATCAAAGAAAGCATCATGAGCGACGACCCAAGGATTCAAATATTGAAAGTAAAATACAGAACCCAATGTTCAATCAAATGGAATGCCTAAGAAGCAAAAATATTGCAGATTATAAGTAAGCAACCTAATGTACAAATATTGTTAGATGCTTACACTAATAGTAATTTCATGCTGACGGCAACAAGATTCGACAGATGGGCCATTTCCAACAGCCAAAAGCCATAACCTCTGCCAGAAGACCCTCCATGTCCAACGCCTATCTCCTCATTAGGAACATTTTGAGGATGATCTGATCCACCTTTCCCACTCTAATGCAAAATAAGAGTAATTAGTTTAGCAAGCCAACAAGAATAGGACCAAACCATCACAGAAGGAAGTGGAAGCATGGACTAATGCATAAATTCTACCAAAGCAAATTAAAGATTTAAAGATAACCCCTCAATTCTTAGCTACACACACTTCATGTTTACCAAAATCGATATTTTCCCAAGCAAGTTTTTCACAACTTGCACCAAACACAACATTTTAGCTGTCTCAAAAGTAGATGTGACTGCAACCCATTGCAAAACTAAAAATGTTGTGATAAATTTAGAACTTTCATTACAACAAGAATTGAAAACCAAACTTGGCAAGGACTTCATAGTGTGGTGTATCCTGGCTTTCATCACAGAACAAAATCCCGTCCAAAACGTCAAACTAAATTAAAATTATTGGCATAAATTCAAGAAATAGACGAACAAGATGAGGTACTAACATCATCAACCTAGGGCTCATTAATAGTCATCGAGGTGACACAAATGTAATGGTTACCCATGCTTTTATGAACAAAGTTTCTAATCCCTTTTGAATTCTTGTGCATAGTTTCCCAAGCAACGATTTCAACAAAATCAAAGCCCATCCTAGTTCACTTGCCTAGTGTCAGTAAATCAGCTCTATAATGATTCATTTAAAAAATCAACTAGATATATTCATGGAAGCCAAGTGCATCAATATTAAGAGCACTCAATCCACGCAGGAACTTCCCAAAAGCCACTGCACAATGTCAATTGAGCCAGTTATGGGTGTTCAAACAGTCAGATGCAATAAATACACCTCATCAAAAAGGGTGAAGATAACAACCAAATAAAGAGAGGACGCAAAGGAAACGAAAATTATTAAACTAATAGTATATTATCCACTTAGATGTTAATACATTATTAAAAACTGTGCTGAAGTAAATTAGAATTTATCCAAGTATAGTCCACTAACATAGGTCCTGTACTGTAAAATTTATCCATAAACAACTGGAATTTTTTTTTTTTTTTTGAATATATATATGACCACCATTCAACACCTCAAGCAAAGCAAAATCAGGGCACAGAAGCCTAAATCAAGAATCATCATCCAACTTCCAACCTCCCAACAGGTTGATAGGTTCACAAGTCTAGATATTTCACAAGATAACCTGAGTGACATCAATAGCAGCACTACTGGTTGACTCTCTGAACAAACTATAAAGACAAAAAAGAAAAGCTTGTAAACATGAGTAGAACACACCTGATAACTCCGAGTTCCTGTATCAAGCTTAGACCCACTATTGCTACCTCCATTATATCTATCGTCATCATCGTTGAAGATACTGTCACAATGTCCATGAGAAGATTGTTCAACTTGAACCGAAGAACTTACAGGTGCTGCAGACAGCTTTTGTGGTGGAGCTGAGCCCGTGTGTGAAGAGGCAGCGGGCTTCTCATACTGAGTGACATTGGTCTCCGGATTCCAGAAGTAAAGATAACCAGTTTTACCATCAACTAGCCCTTTCCAAGGCTTGGGAAGAGTGGGGTCCTCTGGAGAATAACGTGGACTAGCAAAAGAGACGGTTGCAGTAGCCATCATTAAAGAGTTTCAATCTCAAGGATCAGAAGCAGGAAACAGCAATGCACATAAAATTAGATTGGTGATTTTCCCATTTTGGGTTGGGGGAATTTGGCAAGTCTTGGAAGGAAAGAAAACTTGCACTGAACCACCAATGTTAATGTTAACTTTAAAAATATTTTGCGTAAACAATATGAGGGTGGTAAACACTAACTCAACAAACAAAACGGCTCACATACAAATCCAGCAGACATTAACTATAGTAAAGGTATCCACAGAGCAGTGAGAAGAGACTTTCAGACTACTAACATGTGAAAAATAAAATGGATTTTAGGGTGACCCAATTGGAAACCACTGCATTTTACAAGTAAATAACCAAGGTCCGCTGCCCAACACTATCCTACAACAAGCAAAATTCAGTATTGAAGCAAACTGAGATAGTTTTGTGTGTGCGCGGAAACGAGAGGCCTTGAGAAGAACTCCAGGCCCAAATTCTAGCTAGTCACCTTTCTCTGGACCACTGCATTGTTCTTCAAAGCTAATCACAAATATGACATGCATACACAGGTCATAGTCGAATTAAAACCCAAAACGTTATGATAAATTTAGACATATTAGTAACAACAACCAAAGAAACAACCTAACACACGCTTATATTTAAGGGGAAATAAACCACATCAACAAATACATATGCATAAACATAAGCATGAATTATAGCATATATTTTTCATGTTACTACAGAAAGTAACAAATTTTGAACCACAAACATATAAGCCTATTTACCACAAGTTTTAAGCTGATTATTGCATTTCTGTATATTGTTTATCATATCACATTGTTTTGGACAGATATCAGATTGTTTTCTTGTTCATTTGGATCATATTTTCTCAAAAGCAACCCTTTAAATAAGGAATTTTGAAAGAAACAAACATATAAACCTATTTACCTTAGGATTGCTAAAAAAAAATAGCAAATTCAAAATTTTCATTGAACAATTAATTAATTTGGTTGTGTTCTAAAAAATTTGCTGTTAGACAAAAGATTTTATCTCTACAAATATCAGAACAACAAACCCCATGAACAGAAATCTGGCATATACTATCTTCCATCACAAATCAAGATAATTCTGATGGAAGTCACTCCGATTTCACGATCGGATCCAATTCTGCCACGGTATACCATGTTAATTGTTATTCGACAAGAGTTTTCTCCATTCAAGTAAATGAAACAGAAAGTATAATTTCACTAATCCAAATCAAAATCCAAAAACCCCAAACCACCAATCACACAACCCAATTTCGACTCGAAATCAAACCAACAAATAGCGAGCATACGAGAACAATACCTTAGCAGAATTGGATCCGATCACGGAATCGGAGTGCCTTCCATTATAATTATCCTGATTGTTGTAGTCCTCGTGCGAGCAAACAATGTCATCGGTGGTGGCGAAATCAAACCCTTTCGAAGCAGAGTTGTTACGACCCGATGATCCGGAAGCCATGCTCAAAGTTTAAAAATGCGAGCTTTGATCGAAGCACAGAGAGAGTGAAAAGCTAGGGTTCGCAGAGACAACGATAGAGAAAAAGAAGAAGTTCGTTTTGATCGATCTTAGCTAACATAACAAGGAGTCTGAATGAATGAAGCAGGGGAGAGAGGGGAGAGAGTTTCATTTCATATACTAATAATTACACCAATGTGCTGAGAAGTTTTTTCTTTCTAAAAAAAAAAAAATGGATTGTGAATGGGTGAAGATTGTCCTGCCTTAAAGGAGGGATTTGTCGGAAATTGTTAGTTTTTTTTTTTAAATTTAAAAACAAAAAAAAAAAATCGGATTTAGCTTGTTTGGTTTTATTTTTCAAAAATTATTTTTAAAAAATTAAATTTTTTATTTTTCATTTTTTTTACTGAATTTTTTTGATATTTTAAATAATTTTTTTAATTTTTAGATATATCTAATATAAATATATTTAAAAAGTATAATATTTGTGAATTTTTTTTAAAATACAAAAAATATATATAAAAATTCGGTACATTTTCATATTTTTGTGTACTTATTAATTTTTAATAATTTTTTACAAATATTTTAGTTTTTAGACACATCTAAGTTAGTGCATTTAAAAAAGTAAAAAAATTACTTAAAATTTTAAAAATATTTACTAAAAACAAAAAAAATACAAACAATTGAATCTAGAAAATTAAAATCAAACACAATAATTGAAATTTTTTTTAGTAGCAATTTTCAGGACATGCTAATGCATGTTATGTAAAGTTATAATAGTTTACGACATAAAATATATGTTGTCTTAAGTGCAAATATTTTACGACATATTTTTTTATGCCATGAAAATATATTTTTTTACGACATACTTTTGGAGGCCATAAAAAAATTGATTTAAAATTTTTTCCAGTAGAAGTTTTCACGACATGCTAATGCATGCCGTGTAAAGTTATAATATTTTATGATATGAAATGTATGTCGTCTTAAGTGCAAATATTTTACGACAGATTTTTGTAAGCCGTAAAAATATACATTTTTTACAACATACTTTTACATGCCATAAATATATGAATTAACGACTTATATGATATGAATGTCGTTATTGACAAAATATGAACAGCTTGCAAAAAAAAATGTCGTAGAATGTACTAATTACGACATGCATTTAATGCATGCCATAAATATAATACCGTAAATAATTAATTTTTTTGTAGTGAAAATTAATAATTAATTGTTAGATTAACACTGGAAGAGAATTGAACCCCCAATATCTCCTTATAAGTACTGAAGTCTTGCCCCTATGCCACTAAGCTACAAGGCTCTGGGTATGGTCACCAAATACTTGAACCAAGTCACGAATCGAATTATCTATAAACTCATAAAAAAAAGTGGAGCACACTATGAATAATCTCAACGGATAATATGAAATGAACTTTTGTATATAGCACAATGTACAACTCAAGTTGTGAGCTTTTTCCGCCTGCAAGTCACACACACATTTAGCATTAGTGTTACATAAGAAAGAAACTCTCTCATTATTTACATAATAATAAATAGTAATTATACCCATTATTAATTTGCAACTGAATTGGTTTTAAGAAACAAATTTAATTCATAACTGTCAAAAAATAAACACAACAAAATAATTATAAAAAAAAAAAATTGTTTTATTAAAAAGAGCAAATTATACAGTTAGTCCCTGTACTTTAGCTCTTATGTCATTTTGATCCCTATAATTTCAATTGAATCAATTTTGTCTCTCAATTTTTTATTTTGCCTCAAATTTGTCCAATTGCTTCCAATTTTTAGCATTTTTTAATGGTAAAATGTGTACATCAGTGACATGTTATACTTTTAGGAACAAAATTGTAATCTTGATCGCAGTGATTTAACCTTAACTAATTCAATGAAATTTATTTTGCCAAAAACCCTAACAACATTATCAATTTGACTAAATTGATATAAAATCTAAAATTAAGAATCAAAATTGAGCCAATTGAAATTTAGAAACTAAAATGACACATGCAGCAAAATGTAAGGACTACCCATGTAATTTGCCCTACTAAAAATGACCAACATGGGCACCCCTTCTTACAATTTGGAGGTGAAGAAGGTAGTTATATATGCTTCAACTATTCAATATGAAAAAGGGGTTTTAATTATCAACTGTTATGCATCGTATTAGTCGTTATGTAATAAGATTTTAGACTTTTTGTTATGTTATTTATTAGTACATCGATTGATATATGACTTCATTATCAATACGGATACATATCATGTTTTTGAAAGCCCGTATATTGTCAGAAACATATATTGTCATGGGTGCACTGTGAAAGCCCGTATATTGCCAGGAACATATCTCCTCTCATCATCCCCGTTGCAAATTTACGCTGAGAACCTCATTGCGCCGCTTGGCTTCGTAGCTTTACAAGCAATGGTCCCAGTGCCTGTTTAAACGGAGCCACATCAGAGACATTTTCAGGGTTCCGCACACCTGTCGGATTAGTTTGCAGTGTTCCCCAGGATATAGTTTTGTATCAGGACCTTTGTTCAGGAAATTTTATGCAATATATCATAAATATTATTATGGTATTATAGAAAATCTATCCACATTATACCAAGTTTGTAAATTAAATGTAAAGCAGCACATTAGTTCTACATACTCAGAAAGGAATTTATAATTTTAGTCTAAGATGCATCTATAAATTGGCCCAGCCTCATAGTGAGAAGATTAAATCTACACTCTACATTTGAAGTTTTACTTTTAGGGGAATGGAGATGGAGAATTAATATCCACTCCATTGCCTCCCATTGTCATCCCTAATGACAGATATCGAGTTCAACATCTCCTCTACAAAGCACTATTGCATTAACTATATCAGAGTTTTGGCCAAGAGAAGCACTGTAAAATCCATGACTGTTAATGATTGAGGAGAAAAAAGAAAGAAGGGTCTTGAGGTTTGCCTCATAAGTAGTAGTGTTGTTATCTGGATTAGGCACACAGTAACTGAATGTGAAATTAGGCTGAGCAGTGGTGTGGGTGATGGTGATGGTGACGAGGGTATGTGAAAGGAAGAAAAGCAATCTCCAATAAACCATTTTTACTGTATATATATATATATATATCTTCTATCATAAGAATAGGTACTTCCTCATCTGCCTTCTTTAAAATGCTTGCTCTGTTTCTTATGTATTACAAATGAGGAAGGCTTGCGTATTTGTAGAACAAGCTGCTGCCACTTTTCTCACCAATACAAGTATGCCAAGTGTTGGCTAATCTAGCCTCAATTTTCAAATGGACGGATCTACTAACGAGTTGAGGATAAGTTATTCTTTCATCTTGGGACACCGTCACGTGGTGTTCTAACGGTGTTGAAATTAGTGAAGGGAGTAGGGTTTACGAATTTATGTTGAGTGATTAAGAAAAGTGAGAAGATATAGTGAATTGTGATTGGTGTGGTATATAACCACGTGACGCTCCGGATTTGGGGTGGCCATTGTGCGGGGTGCACAGCAGTCACTGTTGTGCAGCCAAATGAGCTCATTTCGGAGTTCATTTCGATAATCTGAACCGTTCACATTTTAGAATATATTGTGGGTGTTTGTTTGGGTTTTTTTGAGCCAACTTATAGTTTCTATCTTTCGAAAAGTTATTTTGGACTGTTCGTTTGAACTTTTTTTAAATAGGTTCTGATTCTAACAACTTATTTTAACTCAAAAAAACTGTCTGAGAAGCTGCTCACCCCTTGCTTCTAATTATTAGCTTCTGCTGTAGACATGTTAATTTACGGTTATACTCTTAGATTTTTTTATTTTTTTAAAAATAGAAAAAGGCCCAAATGGACTATAGATTATTATTATTATTTTTTATGAGAAATGTAAATAAGTAGTGAATAACAAAAAATAAAAATTAATTGAAAAAACTACTTCACGGCTTATTTAACAAACACTACTCAACAATTTAAATTTATAATCCAACAACTACACCAAACAGATTAACAGCTTCTGATTAAAGTCATAATCTATAATCTATTAAGCTATTATTTATAATCTGTTTAAACAGCTACACCAAACGGGGTTATCAAGTAGAACATATCTACCAAAAATCAAGTTAATCGAATATCGTTTATCCTTTCATCCACTTACACTTGTATTTATTTTAATATTTTAAATCACAATTGTTATTTTTTGTAGGTACAAATACGAGTAGATGAATGGGTAAACGACATCAGATTAACTTGATTTTTGGGAAGTATGTTCTACTTGATGTATTCTAAAATGTGAACGGTTTGGATTATCGAAATGAGCTCTGAAATGGGCCCATTTGACTGTACAATAGTGACTACTATGCACCCCACACAACTGCCACCCCAAATTCTAATGCTTCAAGACTAACCACTAATTTTTCCAAGTCGAGACTATACAACTTGACAACTTGTTGGCTGTCATTGCCAAGTTGTTGTTTTTCTACAAATTATTTTGTTAACACCCCCACTTAATTTGTAATACAAATATATATATTAAACTTGTCACGCCCTCAAAAAAATAACATTAAACCCATCAATATAAACATACATTTACATACAAAAGATCCACATTTCCTCAATTAAACAGAGTACTTCATTACAAAAGTATTACATGTTAACAACAAAAGTAAATGCCCTACGGGCTTTCAGCTTTCCAAGTTATCACTTGGTTACAAAAGAGAGTATTAACTCGGTTACACATTAAGCCCTTGGCTTGAATTTACATGTAATACATCAAAAGGAAAATAAGGCAACAAAAGTATGTCTTGCCCCTAGCCTCCCAAGCTATGTCCTTAGAGGTGGCATGCTACCTGT